ATATATATATATATATATATATATATATATATAAAGGTGTTTTTATTAATTATTATTGCTCTTGGTGATCAATATTCATTTATATATAATTTTATCTCGTGGAATAAATGTTTCCGAATTTTCTATTGATATAGAAAAACTAATTCTTTTATATGAGTGGTAACTAATGTTTAGTTGAAATTTGTACATATAACTAAAATATAAGCAATGTTTTTATTAATATATTTAAATTTTATAAAATGCATGTATTCATTTGAATTTTTACTGTTCAAAGTTTCCATTGCATGCTATAACTTATAATTATATGGATTACAATCTATATTTCATTAAATTTTATTTAAAAATATTATTAAGATTACAAACTACAATAGACGGAAGATATGTTAATAATGAAAATAATTTTATATATGTATCCAATTTTTTCTTATTTCTTTTTATTATATTCAAAGCTTTATAACACAGTATAATTCAACATCACTTTCATTAATAATGATCAAAGTTCTTTTTGTTTAATAAAATAAATATATAATAAACAATAATATTAATTATAAAGGTTTTTTTTTCTATTATAAATTAATATAAAAAATATTTCTGTTTTATTCTTATCATCTATATGTTATTATCATATGCATACAATTTAATATTTCTATAAAACTATATTTATTAAATTCGAATTTGTTAAATTTCATTAGTTATATTTCTAAAATAATGATTAATTAATTATTATTGAAAGATTCGATATTTATAAATCCTTAAAATTTATTGAATTCTATATATTTCTATATATATATATATATTTATATATATATATATATATATATATATATATATATATATATATATATATATTCTTATAGATTATATAATATACATTTTTGTAATACATATTGAAAAGTATTCAACTTCCTCGGTTTATAATGAATAATAAGGAAATAATAACACATTACTATATAAATATAATGTATATATAAATATTATATAAATATTAGCAAATATTCAAATGTTGTTTATTTGCATCTAATCTGATCATTTCTATTTTTTTTTTTTTTTCACCTCTATTAATCTTCACCCATTACCGCTTCATTAACAGACTCGAACTATTTCTCTTTCCACGCTCAAATCTCTGCTTAGATCCTCTTAAAATGCTGATGCTGAAACTTTTTTGTGCCCTTTTAAAAAATAAAGATATTCATCATGCGTATAATAATACCCGAGGCACATCTACGTAAGAAATCGAGCTTGCGGCACGCGCCTCTAAAAAGAAAATCAGCGTCGATTATTCGGTTAAATTATGATGCACGTAGCGGAACGAGAACGATCTGCAAGCCTCACATTTTTCTTACTGTTTAGATTCGACTTTAATATATGCGACGGCCTCGCTTGCCTCGTCGAGCGAGACACATAGTCACGCGCGCCACCCTTTTATAAATGGTTTATGGATATGCTGCCTGGACATTTCGTGGCGCATCTGTTCTCTGCGCAATCGAGTGTAAATTTAGTAGATTTCGAAAACGTTTTATAATTTTTAAAGTACAGATGGAAAATTACTTCAGATTAATGGCTGTAAAATACAACCACGATTTACCAAACCAAATGTCATTTCGTTGTTATTCACATGTTCATTATACTAGTATAATAATAACATATCTTTTAAATTTTAATCTCTCTATTTTAAAGAAGAAATTTGATATAGAGCAGCAATATCTTTATATACCCTGTAGTACAAAGTTAGATGTTTTGTTTATGCAAATGTAATGTAGTAAAAATTTATAGTTAAAGAAATATAATTAATTATTTGATAATTAAAACGTATTTAATAGTTAGTTGGAGAGCTCTCGAACGATCATATATCTTAAATATATCATATATGTTAAATATATAATTTGGCTAATTTATGCTAATAGATGTTTAATTTAAAAAACAGTTTGTCAATTACCGAATTTATATTCAATCTATTTGAAATTTTTTTTTCGTTTGAATATAATACAAATTTTACTGAATTTCCAATCATTAAATTTTTTATAAATTTTGATTATAATAAGTAAAGAAATAATTTTAATATTAGTGTAAAAAGTATGTTGTTGATAAAGTTAGTAAATTTTACAAATATAATATTAATGAAGTAAGATATGCATAAACTCACTTGATAGGAAATTAAAATAATTTGTAGAATTGAATTGGTGGATAGAAGTAATCAAGGATATACATCAAACTGTCCGTCACATCTAGAAAGAGATTGAATTTAAGGGGTGAGGGCATGAGATAGAGAGATAGAGAGAGAAAGAGAGATAGATAGATAGATAGATAGATAGTTAGATAGAGAGAGAGATATAGAGGGGGGGGGAGAAAGCGAGATAGAGGGGGAGAGAGAGAGGGAGAGAGTGAGAGTGAAAAAGAGAGAGAGAGAGAGAGAACAAGGGGAGGAAATAGTTTAGTTTTGTCACTTGGTGAACCAAGCCTCCCCAAAGTTGTTCACGCCTATGTGGAGCGGTGTGCCAACTTTCGTAAGCGCGAGCCAGGATAATTGGCCAATTAAAACGCGTAGTGATGCTACTTGCTGTCTGTCTCTGTCTCTCTCTCTCTCTCTCTCTCTCTCTCTCTCTTGCTACCTGATAATTATACTGTCTCGCTCGGTGGTTCATGTCCACAAACGCGCGCATTTAATAGTGTCCCGGTATTCAGTATTGAAGCTTTTCCATGATTAAGCGTTGAATGTATCATCGATAACAAAACAGGACGAAATATTGAAACAATTAAGAAATGAAACAAGGGATAGAACATAAGAGGCGAATGAAGGGTGGGAATTAAAGACAAAGGCAAACATATTTTTGTTACTTGTATAAATTAATCATTTTGATATCTTTATTTATTATTAGATTCACTGGAATATAACATTTTATGACTTTCGCATTACCGAGGTAGTAATTATAATTTAAAGTTTACGTTATGAAGGGCTATTTAATCTTAGACTTGTGAAATAATATTAAATTTTGTCATGGGTAAGTTATCTTAAGCCGTAGAATACGAATAGTCAATACAATGACGAGATACAGTAGATATATAATAGATTAAATGTATATAATAACTAAGAAATTTATTCAATACCTCATAATTAAATAATGTTGTATATGATGAATAATTAAACTTTGGAAGATAATAATTTATTGACAAAGTTAGCATGAAACGAATTTATTTTAAATATTATTTATAACTTTTAAAATCTACAACTATCAGTTTATAAATGAATTAGTAATCGAAATCTAAAATGAATCTAGCCGAATGAATAATCTAATAAATGTAAGTTTATAAATAAAGATTAAAATGGAATAGAAAATCACATATTGAAAATTGTTGATAACTGTAGATAAAAGGTAAGCAAATCATATATTAATTTTATTGAGATAAAAACTTAATATTAACATTATTGATAATAGATATTATAACATTAAAATTCAATTTATTAATTATAATTAATTTTCTATTATGAGTATTTAAGTTAAGAGATGGCTGATTTTCTCAAGGAAAGTGAAAAACAAAAATAAAAAGTAGAGACATTAAATTTTGACAGACTCGATTTTTTCGAGGCGATTGCGGCGTGTTTTCTTCCATTATACAAAAAATGACTTTAGTCTGCTTCGTTACCAACAAAGACAAGTCGTCTATATTAAGAAGTTAGTTGTAATTATCCGCTCGTCTAAGCAGCTCCTGGAAAAATCACTGGAAATATGACTAGTCTTCCCGCCCACCAATGTTGTGCTGCACATTACAAGTTGACAGCAAATTAAAATTCAATTGTGGGGATATGGAACATTTATTTTTTAGTTCGTTACACATAATTATAATTAAGTTTTGCAATTGAAAAAAATGTCATAAAGTTTTTTAACAAAAAATTATTAATTTAAAAAGAAAAATAAAACCTATATAAAATAAGGGAAAATATTAATGTAAATTAGAGTGATGTTTAATTATTTTTCAAAATTATAATATAAATAATTAGTAATAATGCGTACATCCGAACACTTACTTCAAACTTCGAAAGGATATGCAGCTACTTATGTAACATATACATGCACGCACACGCATGCACGTGCACGAACATGATAGACTTAAAATTATTGCATTTTAAAAATTTCAATAATCCTAATTATATTTATTATACTATTTCAATGGAACTTTTATAACTTGCTGATAATATTATCTTGACAGTAATGATAATTCCTAATCGAGATTCCACGAATAACGGCCAATTTGGAAAATAGATTAATATTGTAATTAATCGGTGATTCATTTCTGCGAATCAGGGTTTTACACGATATGCTGTGCATTTGCTCTTTTGGGGATGGACACATTGGTTTATATTATGGCACATAGGTATTGGCATAATCCTTTATACCTTCGTTACATTCTTTCTTTATTTTCATTGGATAAGAGGTTTCGGCCTGTGCAGGTCAACGATTATAAATTGCGTTACCATTGCACGAGCATTTCAGTTGAACATTTGACATTGTTGAGAATTGTTCGTTCCTTGCATACTTCTCTTGGGAAGCGTTGGCTCTTCAAATCGCAGGTAAGCTCATATTTTGCGTGAATTTGTGAACATTTGATTCGATAGTAAAGAAAAATTTAACTTGGTGAATTTTAATCGTGAAATTAGTATAATGATGAGAAAGCTCATCTATGAACCTTTATTAAAAAAGTTTTTATATTTTCTGCTCACATTTGCGATTCGTCATTAATACAAATAATAAACATTAATTATTGAATATTTTTATTTGAATGTATATTAAACAATTTTTTTTATTACATAAAATATATAATATATATTTATTTAAAAAAAATATTTATAAAATCGTTAAATTTATAAAATCTTAAACAATTTTTTTTTTTTTTTTTTTTTTTTTTTTTTATAATACATAAATTATATAATATAAATTGATGAAAGTATTTATAAAATTTTTAATTTTTTATTAACAGTGCTCAATTCTGATTGTCGTTGTAAAATGGAAGGCTATAATAATGGTGAAACGCCACTTCTACATGTCGCTGTCGCTAACAATGACGTGGCAATGGTTTTGTACTACCTTCTCTCGAATCATGACGTAAATGCCAAGGAAATGTACTTTGGCAGAACACCGTTGCATATAGCTGTACGAAACGACAATATAAAAATGGCTCAAATATTGCTGAACTGTGGGGCTGCGATTAACGAGACGACCAGAGATAATTTAAGTGCTCTGCACATTGCCGTGAGCAATCGCTCAAAGTCAATGGTCGCACTTTTATTAAGGTACAATGCCAGTATCAATCCTGTGATAAACTTTCTTGACAAAACGCCATTATATATGGCAGTGGAGTATGGATGTCTGGAGATCGTGAAAATGCTGCTTGAAGCTGGAGCATCGATTCCAAAAGCAACACGAAGAAATTCAACGCTGTTGCATGTTGCTGTACGCATTGGTGATGTAAAAATGACACAATTGATATTGGATAACATGGATATCAAGGCTCTGGGAATGAGAGACAATATCCAATATAAGACACCACTTGACGTAGCTGTGGAGCTGAATTATGAAAGAATTGTAAACGTGCTGAAGCAACAAAGTACCGATGTTCAGCAAAAGAGGCCAACGACTAAAAGAAAATTCAAGCCAAATGTTAAAAATTGGAAGAACGATAAAGTTGTTGAATTATTGTTAAGAAATGGAAAGAGAATTCCTGTCCCAGGCTTAATTTTGAATGGGCAAAATAATTCTCGTACCAGATTCCATGGGCATTAGATTAATATCGAAAGACAATCAACACAAACTTAATAAATTAAGTGCAATTATAATTAATAAGAAAATAAGTAGAGATATTATAAAAGTTAGTCGGTTATTCTTGTACATATCGATTTGTACATTGATATTTAAGTAATTTACGTTGCATGTTAAAAAAAAAAAAAAAAACAAAAAAAAACGGACTATATTTGTATAAATAATGTAAGGAGTTACAAAGCTTGTATATTATTATTTTAAATGACGTTGTACACAAATTACAAAATGCTCTTATATTCCAGTGTATTAGATTAATAATTTGAATTGTACTATCAGGATATTTTATTAAGATTTAAGGACGTATTGTTATTATATATGTAAATTTAAAATTTTTTTAATTATTAAAAATTTATTTTATTATAATATATGTGTTTTCTTTTCTTTGATCCAATCTCACAACGATGGCTTTTTTTTTTGCTGTTGTAAGTTTTAATTAATTATAATTATGTGCTATTTTGCGCTTGAATATATAAATATTTTTATAATTAGTTTTACTTATTTTATAAACATTATAATGAAAATAATAGTATAAAATTATATTTCTAAGCTTTCCACAAAACAATGAATGTGGTGTATTACACAAAATTAGAAATAAACTTTTACATTGGAAATTCAATAAAATTTAAATTTTCAAAAAAATAAATATCTTCTTTTAAGTTAAAATTCAATTTCATATTTAAAAGAAAAAATCTCTCATAATATTAAGAATTTCATCAAATTATATTTTACATTATAAATTTTTTTTTCCATTGTAAGGCAAATAAATTTCAAGTTTTAAATGCAAAACACAACGTATATATTTTATATTACCAACAGTGTTAAGAGTCAATGTTAATCATTAACAATGTTAAATTATTTCATTCGTTTGGAATTGATAATTTATTTTGATTAATTAATAAGCTTATGTGCTTTTTTCTTAATGGAAAATTGTATATGATATTTTATTTTAAAAATTAAATTTCAAAAGTACGAACAAACAATTATGATTAATTACGTATGATTTATAAAATTATTTATCGACCAACACTTTATTAAAATGTAATGAAAATTTCTTCGAGCTTAAAAAATTTCCAAAATCAGAGGTTCTTTTTTTTCAAACGAAATTCATTAAAGTAAATTAATAATTAATATAAATACATACATACAATTTAGGCAATTTGTAATGTTTTACTTTTATAAGCGGACTGAAAATTACCAATCAAACTTATAATTTATGTGCCGCCTCTATAGTATCGTATATACAAATTATAAATACAATTATGCACACGGGAAGCGTCGCTGCCAAAACATAGTGTGACAGTTGGCTTCGGTGACAATGTAGAGTGATATCAATGTCGACACACACAATCATCCCATGGGATCCGGCGCTCAGTTGACAGGAGTATATCGATTCCAGTTGTCTCGTATCACTGCAATAATAATGCGTAAGCGATACCCCGACTGTGTACTCGCTCCTGTTCCTCCTGTCTCTTGCGTAGTGATGCTACACATTGTTCGGGGCGGGGGTGGGGTGGGGGGTTGTTATACGCATGTATTTTCGTTGAAGGTGGACCGGTTTAACCATTACCTTAGGGCCTAATTCCCCCGCCCCATCATGATTCCACTCCATGTCTCTTAGCAAAAGATCGACGATGGTGCCGACACTCGACACGATAAATTATCTCACGACGGGGTACCAGTTGTAATGGTCATTACCGCATTCACCGTGTATGCTAGAACATACGAAACTCAATTATCATAAGTTTGCGTAGGTACGTATGGGTCTGATGCATTATTGAGAGTACAATTTACATTGTAGAATGGTCAATTATCAGTGTCTTATTTCGTTTAGTGGGCGTATATGTATAGAAAGATATAATTGCAATACCGTGCGAAGAAATTATACACGTATGTAGGATGAAAAGTGAAGAAGCCAAGTATTGATATGATTAATGATTCAATATTTATAATATCCGACCAAGAAAAAAATATAATTAAATATAATATATAAAACATGGAACAATATTTTTTTAGTAATATTATTTTATGAAAGTTACAATTGATTTCAGTATTTTTGAATTCAAATAATACATATTCAAATATTCATAATCATTAAGCATATATCACTATATATATTTTCTTAAATTTGAATAAGTATTTTATGCAACTAAAATCAGAAATGGGTAATTATAATATTACATTATTATATTAAATGATAACAATTCTAGAAGAAATCAATTTGTTTTATTCAAAAAATTATCAGGATAAATGTATTTTTCAATTTGAAAAATTAAATTTCTTCCCTCTTCTTCCCTTCGATAACAATCATATTTAATTGTAGTAGATAGCACTTGTAGCAATAATTACAGAATAAATAATATTGCAGATATGTATTTATGCAGATACAATTAATGCTCATTTTCAATTTCTAAATAAAATTTCCAATTATTTATGCTATTATATTTCAGCGTAAAAGTTTATCATAACAAATAATATAGTTTTATTAATGATAGTATTGGAAATTGAATTTTCTTGAATGTTATAAATGTTGAAAATCCCTAAAATTACATTATATTATTATCACATAATTCTCTAATACATTATAAATATTTAAAATATTAATTGAATATGTAAAAGAATAAATAATTAACCTTCGTGTATATAATTGTCTCTCTCTCTCTCTGTTTCTAGCGCTACATCATATTTATTGGTCACGCGTAAGTTCACTTCACTCTTTTGAATTTGATATAATTTTATACAGCGGGCTTATTACAGAAACGCAATAGATCGCAACAGTAGCCGTGGAAAAGTGGCTAGGCGTGCTTTATGGTCCGTCAAATTAAAAGATTCCCTCCTTCATGCGTGCCACCTCGAGTGCACTACCACCATTCATCCGACCCTTCGGTTAACTGTGATCTGATCCACTGTTTCTCACTCTGCTCTGCTCTCCCCCCCCTCTCTCTCTCTCTCACTCCCTCTCTCTCTCTTTCTCTTCACCATCTTATCTATATATTTATGCACTAATTTATATTCGTTTTTATTCGTTTTCAACTTTGCTACAAGTCATTTTCCTTAAACTCTCTATATCATGTACATATTTAAAGATATATTATGCATGTATTCATAGATTTTCGAATTTGCATGGCGATTCTTGTAAGTTTATGTATATATTTCTATTCACCTGTATAGACGTGTCTTCTAATGCGCCTATGTATTCAAATGCGTCTATAATTATGTTATTTCTCACATAAATTATTCTTAGATAGGATGAATTACTCGTATGGAGCTGTATACAGGTACATCTATATTTTTTGAGTTTTCACATGGATTATGTTTAGTATATATATATATATATATATATATATATATATATATATATATATGTATATATCGTTGGCTTACTTTTCCATGACCTTTACATAAGTCTGAACATACATGTGAGTGCAAGTGTAGCCAATAGGGTCTCACTCAGTTTAACGAGAGAGATAATCTGAGCTCTAGAGATAATTCGCGTCTAATGACACGTTTATAATGGCGCTATGTGTTCGCAGATGTCGGTTTTTAGTTTGGCAGGCCTTTAGGGAGTCGTGTGCAACTACTGGACTAAATGAGCTTTGATCGCTCTGGGATTTCTCCTTGATGCTCCGAGAAATATCAGATGTATATCTTCTTTCCTTATCTGTTATCTTGGATGTCTTGCGACGGAAATTGATGAAGTACTTCTGGATCGTATTAAAGTTGTTAATTTACGTTCCAGAGGCGAAAAATTACAGGCACCCCCATTTATTATACATAAATAATACTCATTGTTGTTCAAATAATTTATTTAATGAACGAAATGAAGCTTTTATAATCTATCAAATATTCTATCCATTTATATATTTATATATATATATATATATATATATATATATATATTTGCATGTATTATATTTAACGAACTGTTTCTCAATAAATATTTAATTCATCTAATTAAATAAAAAATTAAATTAACATTAAAAACTCTGTAATAGGTATAATACGTTTTTAGTTATTGGAAAATGATTTGATTGCTTCATGAAGTGCATAAATTTAATTTGCACCTAATGATATTACTCCGTCTTTTCATCTGGAAATTTGCGATGATGCAAGCGACTTGAACGACATAAAACCGCAATCACAAAAGTTTCAATTTTGATTAGAAGTTTTGAATAAACTAACTATTATACAACCGAGTTCAGGGAGAAACTTTAATATACTAAGGATATTAGTACTGTTTAGAATTAATTATTTATAAAAATTTATAAAAATCAATTTGTCTGCCTATCTAGAAATCAATTGTACTAATTTTTCTTTGACACGCACATAATTGTCAGTGTCAGCTATACAGATTCAACATTTTTCAAGCATATTAATTTTGCAATATGACAGTATACTATGAATTATTAGATATTATTTAAAATATCAAAAATTAATTTTACAATACATTATTTTCCATATTGTAATTCATTTGATATTTCATACGTGATACTTTAACCGTTTGTGTAATCTAAGGATCAATTATTTTAAATATTAATTAAGTAATTCTTAATTTTTTTTTACATGTTCATGCACTTAAGTAAATTTGCTAATGATACTTCGGTGAATAACCTTATGTACAACTATGAATGTAAAATTCACTCTGTTGCGTTAATTATTTAAAGGTAAGTACAAAGGAGCAAGAGTTCATAAGGCATACGTTTTCTATGACTCATGCAAATTATTTTCAATGGCAGCGAATATCCAAGTAATTTTACATGTTATACAAGAAAATCATGTGAAGAGGGAACGATAAAAACCAAAGATTTCAATTATGAATATTGAAATAACAACTGTACTGTTGACATAAACTCCTTAATTACATAGATTCACACAAATTCATACAAGTAAGATGGATTTATTATTAATTTAATGTAATAAGATAATCTATGCTTTTCGTCTAACTATTTCTTAAGAGACATCTTTTA